ATTATTATTATTATTATTATTATTATTATTATTATTTCTTTTGCAGGTGAAAATATGTGTCTTTGTGAAAAACACACCAGATCAAAGATGTTCATCTGGGACAAAAGCTCACACAATGAGCAGCTCATGAGATAAATCTTAAGCTGTGTGGATTTCACAGGCAGGAAAGAGGCGCGGGGTCAGGTCAGGGTTACGCTTACTTCACACAGTTTAACATAACCACAGATAACCTCTGAGTGTGTGTGTTTTGACTTGAGACTCCGCTCATCCCACAGTGGATTACATGGAACGCTGGAGATGTGGGGCAACAAGACTGAACTAAAGCTACCAAGACACGCACATAACTGAACAGAGCTTAAGTGGGCTAGAGACTACAAAGAGTTGTAGTCTGTGTTGGCATCTTGCAGGTAACCCGAAGTTCAAATGTTACATCAGTTGTGTGGGCGTTTGCCTGTGTACCTGTGCTGGCAGTATTGCCCGTAGTGGTTGTCTCCGCAGTCACAAATGTATCCATGGGAAGAGCTGGGCTTCCTGTGGCAGTGAGCCTCATTCTCACATGGATTTAGATGACAGGCGTCAGTGCAGCTTTTCCCATAATAACCTGAGAGACACAAAGAGAGATGTCAAAAACCTTCAGCACAGTAAGAAAACTTGGTTCTTAAATGTTTTTTGTTTTGTTTTGCAGGTTATATTAAATAATATTTTTGATTAAATTCACTTGACATGTATCTTCCGCCTGAGCATGTGGCACATCCTTTAAACTCTATGGACACAGGGAGGACGTCAGTAAATAGGCTGATTAACCCTCAATTTTATTTGCTATAATAACTTATAAGAAAAATTATCAGGAGACTTGTTATGCATATTTAAGTGGGTCTAAGAAAATATCCATTCATCCTACTGCTACCTAAATATTAACACTGAGTATGTCCAAGTTTTTTTAACGTTAAAAAACTGATTTATTTTGGAAACAATCATCTACAGAAAAATAAAGACAACCTTAGTGTGTAAAGAACTTCCCTTCCAAGTAATTTGATGAAATAAAAGCAGAACACAGCAAACACTGAGATCTTAATATTCAGCATGGCGCTGCGTCTTTCATCTGTGTACCACACATAATAACCTGTCAACTCGCAAGTAAACATCTCAAACATCAAACAGCGATTATCACAAATGTCATTCTCCTGACGCACTTCGGCTGGGCGAGCCACTGGAAAGCATGCCGCAACGGTGCATTGCTACACTGTCAGCCGCTGAAACACTAACACAGCGCTTCTTCCTTCTTTCTTTTTTTTTTCGAGTTCAAAATAAGTACAACAGTCGCATCAAGAAAACATTCCACTTGCTATACGGCAATATATATGCACGTCAGGTGTAGAGGAACCAAGACATGTTGATGGGAAGTAGGCTACTGGAACAAAGCATCCATGGACAACGGCTGATAATATAGAACTGATGCAGAGATGCTATTATGTATCACATATGCCGACCCAATGAGAGGGTATATGCCACACATGTGAGAACTATGGATGGGCAGAAAGCCAACATCCAAACTCACCAAGAAGTACCTGGTGATAACCACATGTGTCACCATCAAATGCAAAATATATCACTGTTCACACTGCTGTTCTGCACAGGCGTCAGTCCCGAAAGCCTGCTCATCACTAAGACTGGATACAGATATAAATTCAGGACTGGAGTGACCATCAGTCACCTCTGACTCACCAATCCTCCTCATCAGGATCGATAGCGAGGACATCAGGATGCCATTTAGCCTGGATAAGTGGGTATATTTTGGTAATTCTGGCCAAATGGTAAAAAAGAGAGAGAAGATTACCTCGACTGAAGGGGTGGAGCCACCAGAAGGAGGAATAGCAGATATATGGGACAGCTACAAGTACCTGGGTATCCCACAATTCAAGGGGAACCATGATAATGATGCACACAGGTCAGCCACAAATACTTCCAGTAGATAAGATGTTTTAAAAAGCCAGCTGAATGGTAGGAATAAGATCCAAGCCATCAATACATCCTCCCTACTGCTCAGCACATACCCCACTGTAGTACCAAGCTGGCCACAGGAGGAGAGAGATGCCACTGATGTGAAGAAACAAAAACTCCTCACAACCGGAAGTCCAGCACCCTGAGGCTCTATGAGCACTGCAAATGGTGAGGGCGAGGATTAGTGAGTGTCAGAGGCACAATCCAGAATGAAACATGGAGCATCTGTGAATATATCAGGCGCCCAAGAAGAGCTGCTCCAAGAACGCCTCAGGCAGCTGAACACAGACGGTGAGGAACAGAAAGAGGCGCAATCTACACGACCAAGGCCCTGAATGGGATGAACCACTGACAAATAGAGGAAGTGGCTGACATCAAGAAATCTTACCAGTGGCCAGAAAAGGACAGCTAAAAGGACAGAACAGAGGCTCTGATCACAGCAACACAAGAACAGACCCTGAGCACCAGACGCATAGAGGCAGGAGTCTACCAAAGCAGATAGGACCTGCAGACTGTACTACTTAGTAGCAGGATATTTACTGTATATGGACCTTGCGTGGCACAACCGAGCAGCTGAGATAGCGTACAGGAACATCTGTGCCACTTATGGACAACAAGTCACGTGCAGAAAAACTAAAAGCAATATAATGTCACTGGAAAAGAAAGTGTAAATGTCTCTTTTTCATAACAGCACAGAAATGTGCTACATAAAAAGCAAAGACATTACACTTCAACACAGCTGAACAAGCCACTTCAACAACATACACGCACACTCCCAAGGTATACTTGTGTGCAGCATGAGGAACGAAGCCGTCATACACTTCAATGCAATCCCGAGACACTCCACACAAACACACCCGCCTCTTATATGGTAATACAGGCCAGCACATAAAAACCCCTCTTTAATCTAATGACTAAAGCTGAGCGCTTTATGCATATTTTGCGGTGTATTGAGCACAAATAGTGAAGGCCTCTCACCTAGACCTCCTTTTAAATTAAAAAGAGCATAATTGTGCTATTTAGTCATTAGGGAGCCTTTTTTAATAGGGGGACTTAAATATTACAGGACTACTCAATGACAAAAGAATCTACACTCACGTGAAGCCAGAAATACAAGCAATGAATTTAAAATAAAACATTCCACAGACTCAAATGAATAATAAAAATAAAACTAAGATTTGCCTGTAATAATTAATAATGAATCCAACTGATACAGCTGGGTTTTTCCTTCTCGGGGGATTCTCGTCTTCAACTGTGGAGCCACAGAAAAATCTGCCAATATTTTATTATTTGAGGTTTCATTTACTTAACATATATTTTTGTTTAGCAAGGTTGTGGTTATCAAATAGACAGAAATAACATGTAAATGCCTGGATTTCTATCTAATGAGGTAGCACAGACTCATGCCTTTTATTGTATGTGGACCTATCGTGCATTTGTTTATGGCTGCCGTGGGAATTAAAGGTCTTTGCTACATCAGGCATGTTAATTACTAATAAACACAACGCAAAGCCGAGGTTGTCATAAACCAAGGTTTTAGAAAATCTAAATTCTTACCCGACAGCATTAGAGAGTCAAACAATTTGTCCTCGCCAATCAGTAATGATTGATTGCTTGTACAACACAAACACAGACGACTTGTTTTCATCATATTTTATCCAGAGCTCCAGAGCGACCAACAAATCTCTGCTTTCACCTCGTGTCTTAAGCCAGCTTGGCTTTCAGGCCCTCTTTTCAATTTACTGGCACAGAACAGAAGGACGTCTCTGCAGATCGAAGTGTGACTGGCTGATGCGTGCGTGCAGCTTGTTGAGGTCTGCATTCCTCTCAGCGAAGCAGACAAACATGTGCAAGGTCTGCTTTCACTTGTCCGTCTAAAGAAAATACAGAAGGCGCTTTGCTTTCAAGCCTTTGGCCTTGGCTTCTGCTTGTACTCAGTATTCACTTACACCAGCATTCAAATGAATCCTTTTTCAGTAATTGCATGGCCTTCTAACTTTTTCTGCTCTCTGTACATAATCAAACCCAAATATGCTATATAATTTAAAAAAAAAAAACAGACACTAACCCAGCTTAATCTCCAAACTTCACACAGTGAAGCTAATTGCAGCCATTGTTCAGTTTCCAATTATTCATCTCACAATTTCTTCTAACAACAAATGCAGAAAAACATTGTGCCTATTTTCTGTCTTCTCCACCTTTAATTTTATTGTTCTCCACGTCTGTTGCTTTCTCTTGAACACACACACACACGCACATTCACACACGCGTACACTCTTCTATCAGCACTATACATCTTTACAGTTTCACCATGGCAACAGAAAAAAGGGAGACGACAACGGCCTTGGCTGTTTTCAGACGCATATAATGACACTGGCCTTCTCGACACAACACGAGAGCGAGAGAAAGGCTCGAGCCTGAAGAACAAAGAGTGGCGTGCATGTGTTTTTCATCTTTCGCAGTCAGGGTGCAGGGGTTTGTTTGAAAAGTTGTGCTTCTCGAGCGCTACACACATTCAGCGTGACTCACAGCTTCGCGTCTGACTTTCCTGTAACACAACATCAGCTTGACTTCTCCACATGACTACAATCAGGAAAGACCAATGAGTCATCTGTTCACTGAACCGTCCATTCATCCTCTGTGTATCCAACTGTCTTCTCTGACAGTGGAAAGATTGTGCGTGTCGAAATTTCCCAAACAAAATGCTCACACTGAGCGCCGAGTTCAGTAACTCTGTGACAACGGCGGCTCACGATGAAAGAATGAAAGCACTCGTTCAAATATGCGCTGAACTTTTAGTTCGGTTTGTGCTGTTTTAGTTACATGTTTTAGCAGGAACTTTCTGTGCAAAGGCAACCCACTGTGCCCTGCTGCATAGCATCAAGAGGTTGACAAGCAAACACGACTGAAACCCCAGTGTTGTCTCTCTGATACAAACTGGTCGTGGAACAATGCCAAAAACTGAACCGGAGCCAGGTAGATGTCAGCGACGTTTCCATAGAGATCACGTGATACTGTGTTTTTGAACGTGAGAGATATAGATCAGTTCATAACAAGGAAGAAATTGCATTTATCTTTTTGGGGTTTTTTTTGTAATACACAGATGAGTATTACAACACAGTTAAGCTGCCGTTTTATACATTTAAGTTCTGTTTCATTTGCTGCATGGTGAACTGAATGAATCAGACGCTTACAGTTATCCTTACTCTGGTCATGATGTTACCATCATAAACTCGGGATCAATCAAACGACAAGTCAATTAGTTCAGTCATTTCAGTTGTGGGCCCAAAAGCATGAAGCTGTGTGTCAGAGTTTGATTCACTGCTAATGAGTTTGTCTCTTTTCAAGAAACTTTTTAATTTTGTTGTATTCTACTCTTTGTCTCTTTATTGATTAAAAACAAAACAGACTCTCTCTACTCTAATTCAGACATACAGAAGGAATGAACCTCCTTCTGTATGTCTGACCTCCAACTGGCATCACCGCGACCTCCACCATCTTACTCAAACCGTAATTTGAGTATGTATTTTTCAACCATGATTAGACATCTACAGAAGAGCTCCACCCGATAGTTTTTCAATGTAGAAATATTTGCTGGGT